TGTCGTCGGACCGGCGACAGGTTGGGGTTTGGATTTGATGATCAGTATATTAAACTGAAAATAATTGGATTGAATTTGTTTGTTTAGAAATTAAATTATGATTTTCATTTCCATTTCCATTGATTGTTTAATGTTTTTACGCTTTATTTGTGGTGTAGGGATGGAAACCTGAGAAGAATTTGAGGTTTCTTCTGCAGAAGGTTTTGAAGCAAAGTGATGTGGGCAATCTGGGCAGAATCGTCCTCCCAAAGGTGAAAAATCAAAAACATTATTTTATCTTTTTTTTTTCTTCATTCTGATATAAGTTATAAAATGCATTATAATTATTAAAAATTAAATGTAACGCAATGATTTTATTTTATTATTATTATTTTGTGGGTTTGATTTCAGAAGGAAGCAGAAACCCACCTCCCAGAATTGGATGCGAGAGATGGCATCTCTATTGCCATGGAAGACATTGGAACTTCTCGAGTTTGGAATATGCGATACAGGTATTGGAATTTGATAATAATAATTTCCTTTTGGGTTAAAAAAACATTTTTTTGTCAGTCTCTATATTTTCTGATTTGAAAGTTCATATGATTTTTAACCTAATTTTTTCTTACTATATTTTTATAAAAGAAAAGAAACCCTTCTGATATTTAATATTATGATTAATGGTTAATTATAGGTATTGGCCAAACAACAAAAGCAGAATGTATCTCCTTGAAAACACAGGTAATTAAGTACTAGCCCCATTTGATTAAATGATTAGATGATTTGTTATATTTTTTATGAGTATTTATTTATTAATAAATATTTTTGTACCTTAAGAAGAGGTTTTTATTCATTAACTTGTGTGTTTCGATGGGATTTTCAGGGGACTTTGTGAGAGCCAATGGACTTCAAGAAGGAGACTTCATTGTCATCTACTCAGACGTCAAGTGTGGGAAATATGTAAATATCAATTCCTTTCTTTCTTCGATATAAACGTTGGATAGTTAGTAACATGCCATGTAAGATTATCATCTATGTAACAGATGATACGAGGAGTGAAGGTTCGGCAACCAGTGCCGAAACCCGAGAGCAAAAGGCCAGCAAAATCGCAGAAAAGCGTCCAGCCGACTGCCACCGCGAATGCCAATGGCTCGTCCCGCCATCCCGAGGAGGAGGAAACGAAGAACTAGGAGAGAGAAAACCCATCTCTCTCTCTCTCTAAAGAGAATAAGAGGTGAATTGGAACAGATGGAGGGTGGGATCTAGTTAATCTGGGATGGTAGGGTTTTTAATTCCATCAGCTGCTTTGTTTTTTCTGGTAATGTTAAGATTTTTCAGAGGACGGGCATTGGGCATGCAGTGCATGAAGGAAGAGGCATAAAAAGGAAGAACACGTATATATACTTATATAGTATGAATAATAATATAAATATAACTATATAATAAAAATAAAAAATAATAATAATAATAATATATGATGTGAAATATGGAAGGAAGAGAGGTTTTTGCGTTGGGGAGTAATGAATTTAATGAGCGTTATGGGAAACGCTTTTTGCTCTCTTTATATGCTCAGCTCAGCAAATTACAGATCAGAAGATATGAGTGGTGAGGGACTATTACTTGGGATATGTATTTTGGTGTTGGTTTTTTTTTTCCCACTACTTTAGTACTGTTTATGTTGTTAATTAAGCTCCTTAATTTCCACTTTGTATCATAAGCAATATTATTATTATTATTATTATGTTGCCTTTCTATTCTATACTCTATGTCTTGTATATGAACGAGAAAAGCAAAAAGAAATGAGTTAAAATTTAGTGAGTTAAGCATCGAAAAAAGAAAGAAATAAAATGAAAAAAATTAGATAAAAATGGAAATAAAATGATCAAAATGGTTAGTTATTAAAAGAATAAACAAGTAAATTTTATTCTTATTGTAAGCATTATTTATTAAAAAGTAATGTTAGCAAAAGTTACTCTGAGATTTGAGACTCTTCCAAAGAGAAGGGTAAAATGTTGTATGCTCATATTTGGAAAAACCTTGATAAAACAATATATGAGAAAGAGATTTTAAGTACTGTTTTCTAAGGAGGATGCCAAAATTAAAGATTAATGTTATTAGTTCTTAGTTTTGGAGTGTAGGGATGGGAGGATTCATCTATGTTGGTGGATTTGAGATGCAATCAGCGAATTAATTATTTATTTTTTGGTCAATATGAATTTACAATATGTTTTAAAAAATCTAATCAACCCGTTTTCAAAATGAAAAAAAAAATATATATATATATATATATATAATCAACTGATGGATTTGACCAATCAACCCAAGATCTGAATCTTATAACTTGTTGAGATTGGTTGATTGTTTAGAGAAAATTATAAAAATAGTTATATAAAAATATATATATACATACATATATAATACAGTATTTTTAGTACAAGAACACATGTAGTCAAAACGAGCATAGCTCAGTAGTAATTGTGTTCAAATCAATCAACGAAATTGTGTTCGAGAGTGAAAGTAGAATTAGTGATTTTGAAAAAAGAGATTTAAGTATAATTGATTTTAATCAGCATCTAAATGATACCTTAAAAATCAATCTAAAGTGATTTTAAGCTTTCCTAAAATTAATTTTTATTTGTCAAACATGATAGTAAGAGAAGTGATTTTGACAATGACAAAAGTGATTTTGACCAGCCAAAATCACTCCCAAACACGACCAAAATGATATTTATTTATTTTTGAAAATCACCCTAAATGATGTTGCAAGTACTATAAAAAACAAGAAAATAAATTAAATGATAGTTAGTCCACTATTTTAATATCACAAATTTTCTCATATATATAGTAAGCGAGGCTAATTTGGTCCATATTTTAGTTCTCTTATGCTTTGAAAGYGTGTTCAAATTTATCTGTGAAACCATTGAGGTTAAAGTTAACTAACTTGAGCAAAGATTTTGTTCTGATCTTTAAGCTCTCTACCTGCTCACTCTCCCCCGTCCCCCTTGGCAACATCCTTCCTTCATTTGAGAAGTTAGCATTTGTTTTATTGTTTGATGTAAACTCTTTTGTTAGGGTAAAATGTACCCAAGTTTACTTGAAAGGGTGCTAAAGAAGCAATGTGAGCCAAACTACCCAAATCAAGTCGTTGYCCTCCGACCTAATTTGACTCGGTTGAACTAGTCCACTCGAGCCAACACAAGGAGACTCCCTCTATAAATAAGAGTACAAGGCTTTAGGTGGTACATGTTATTATCAATTGAACATTTTGCCTGACTTAAGTATTAGAGTGTGTTGGACTTAGCGCCACATTGGTGTGTAGGTGTTCGTTGGACCTACTTGGTGTTGCATCTTTAATCGGCCAATTCCTACATCAACATCATTTGATACCATCGTGGGAAACAAGATAACCAATGTTGAACCCATTCTTCACACTCACCAACATTGGACATGGGCAAGAGTGTAGAGAATCCCATCCGATCAATCCTTGAATAAGAAGGGTCAAATTATGAATAGCATCCATGAAAGAGGGTGTGAACTCGGGGGCCCAAACACCYGGTGTCTTGAGGCGCTTCCTCTGATGAGATGAATCAACTTGTCTCAAAATGTGGTAAGGTCAGACAAGTTCACCGTGCTAGAAGAGAAGGTGAAAGAAATGAACCGAAGCTTGATTCTACTGGTGGAGATCATGAATTGTGAGATCTAGCAAGAAGGTAACTAAGGGCGACCTCTCAGCRAGATCTACCGCAATTGTAATATTCTAATATTAGTTGAATCAGTGACTTTTTTTTGTTCATTTTCTTTAAATACAACAAATATGAACATAAAAGATTGAACTTCTAATCTCARGAAGAATAAGACGCCTTAATTTGAGGTATACTCACGTTGACAAGCAAAAAGAGTTGTATTAATTAATTTGGAGGATGAAATTAGATTGCAATCCAAATCTTTTTCCCATCTCTCACAATCAATAAATTATTAGTGTGAAACCTCAATGTCATAGCTAAGACCTTCTTTTTTTGAATAGTCCACAAATTGAGATCATTAAATCCCTTTATTATACCATGCATGTAACTGTCATAAGACTTCCATCACAGTATGATTTTTGTTATTTAATACAACCGTTTTATAAATAAAATAATATGCTATCAAAACATTTTTTTTTATTACCCATTGCGTAAGTATCTACAACCCAAATTTGATATTTTCTTTTAATTTTGGAAGGATGAACAGTATTTTATCCTAAATCCTCCGTGATATCATTTAGAATGTTCTTTAATTCTTTTTACAACTTACRAGCACTTCAAATTTCTATCTTCATCTTCATTTGAACAAGAAAGCCATCAGAAGAATTGTTTTGAACCATTTAAAAGTTCAAGTTAAAAAKAAGACTTTTCAAACTATGAGAATATAATTGGAGATATTGACATAGACAGTCTAGTAAAGTTTTCACTCTACTCAWATAACCTACGTATTGAAAATTCTTTTTTCTAACCTAAATCAATATTTTATGTAATTAACGACCATGACGCCTAGTAGAGATATATTGAATTGAGATTAAATTAATATGTATATAAACCATTAAATTCTCGTGCAGGAAAATTTCATGAAAAYTCGGGCAAGTTCGGGGTGAGGTATCAACGAACTCACCCGAGTTTTGRCTGAGATTTTTTGTTTTAGAGTCAACTTTTTCATCATATTAAGGATGGTTTCGTACTTTCACTCTCACTGGCACGTCAGAAAAAGTTGATTTTGGTTATAAAAAATAATTTTGAATTGATAGGTCATTTGAGCAAATCATAGACATTTTTGGGTCAATGCAGTCAATATCCCATATAATTGAAACATATTTCAAAGTTTTAAGAGTACAATTGAACTTGCTTTTAGACAATTTTCGGAGAACTATCAAATACCATTGAATTGAAATTCACAACCAAGCCAAGCCACTTAATCCTCCCTCTCCATTGGTTGCTGATCATCTCTGTTTCTGCAATCTGCTCATTGCTCAGCCCAAAACCCAAAGCCAGTTTTTCAAACCTTCCCACCCATGAATTCCACATTTTACAACCCAAATGCCGGGACCCTCAATTTTTCAGCTCAACCGCCATCAATCTTCCCAAAAGCAGTAGCAGAATGCAAAAATGCCAGAGATTTGAAGCAACTCCACGCCATTTTGATCAAAACCGGTCAAATCCATGACCCCCTCACGGCCGCTGAAGTGATCAGATTCTGCGCACTTTCACCTCACCGCGATATTGGTTATGCCCGTGCGGTTCTCCGCCAGATTCCGGAGCCCAATTGCTTCTGTTGGAACACCATTTTGAGAGTTCTGGCTGAGTCCAACGACGAACATCTGCAATCGGAGGCGTTGCTGCTCTTTCGCGGAATGTTGTGTGATGGGCGTGTGAAACCCAACAGATTCACTTTCCCTTCCGTGTTGAAAGCCTGCGCTAGAACTTCGAGGCTTCGAGAGGGGAAGCAGGTTCATGGGATGATTCTGAAGTTTGGTTTTGACGGGGATGAGTTTGTGATTAGTAATCTCGTTCGGATGTATGTGATGTGTGCGCTCATGGAAGATGCGTATTCTCTGTTTTCTAAGAATGCAGTTAATTCTGATGGGCCTTATCAAATGGCTGTAGATAAGAGGAGAGAAGAAGGGAATGTGGTTTTGTGGAATATAATGATTGATGGGCATGTGAGACTTGGGGATTTAAAGAATGCGAAGTACTTGTTCGACGAAATGCCTCAAAGAAGTGTAGTGTCATGGAATGTCATGATATCGGGGTATGCACAAAATGGGCATTTCATGGAGGCCATAAACATGTTTCAACAAATGCAAATTGCCAATGTTTCTCCAAACTATGTGACTTTGGTGAGTGTCTTGCCAGCCATTTCACGAATTGGCGCACTAGAATTGGGGAAATGGGTCCACTTATACGCAAGAAAGAATGAGATTGAGATCGATGATGTGCTTGGTTCTGCTCTGGTGGACATGTATTCCAAATGTGGGAGCATTGAGAAGGCACTTCAGGTCTTTGAGAGGCTGCCTAAAAGGAATGCCATTACTTGGAGTGCCATAATCGGTGGATTTGCAATGCATGGTCGCGCAGAGGATGCAATCAAGTACTTTAACTCGATGGAAGAAGCTGGCGTGACTCCCAACGATGTTGCTTTTATTGGAATTTTAAGTGCCTGCAGCCATTCAGGGCTAGTGAATGAGGGTAGATCATTTTTCAACCACATGGTTAAGATGGTTGGGCTAGAACCAAGAATTGAACACTATGGATGCATGGTTGATTTACTCGGCCGTGCTGGGCATCTGGAAGAGGCTGAGGAACTTATCAAAAACATGCCAATCAAGCCAGATGATGTGATATGGAAAGCTTTGCTTGGTGCTTGTAAAATGCACAAGAATATAGAGATGGGTGAGCGTGTGGCTGAGACGTTAATGGAGTTGGCTCCTCATGACAGTGGATCCTATGTTGCTCTCTCAAATATTTATGCTTCTTTGGGAAATTGGGAGGCAGTTTCAGGGGTGAGGTTGATGATGAGAGGGATGGATATCAGAAAAGACCCTGGATGTAGTTGGATTGAGATCCATGGAATAATCCATGAGTTTCTTGTAGAAGATGATGCCCATCCTAGAGCTAAAGAAATCCAGGCCATGTTGGGAGAAATTTCCATGAAGTTAAGGTCGAAAGGCTACAGACCAAATACCTTAGAAGTGTTTCTCAACGTGGTTGAAGAAGAAAAGGCAAGAGCCTTGCAATATCACAGTGAGAAGATTGCAGTTGCGTTTGGATTAATCAGTATAGCCCCACAATATCCACTTAGGATTGTTAAGAATCTACGTATATGTGAAGATTGTCATGCTTCTATAAAGCTTATCTCCTTGATTTATAAGCGTCAAATCATTGTGCGGGACCGGAAGCGATTCCATCATTTTGACCATGGCTCATGTTCATGTATGGATTATTGGTAATTTTTCAGAGGCAAATGGCTGTTGCCTTTTGTACAGAACTGTAGAAGATTGGAGTATTCATAATGAAGACCCTAAGGAAAGTCAGTCCATTCTTGCTCGGTCATCTGCCTCGGTGAATTATTTATTTATATACTCAAGGCAGTCCGGAATTTGCTCCACAACTAAAAATATTTTGATCAAAACCATACACCGACTTGCATCAGTGATTACTTAAAACTTCTCTATAACTGGGTGTGCCCTCTAGCATTATTCTAATGGCTCACCTCCAACTAATCCTCGAAGAAAATGTCCAGTGTTTACATGATACTGCACTATCTCTGCAGGAAATYGAGTGGCTGAAGCCATATTTTCGAGGCTGAAAACCGAGGCAAAAAAAGTCCCCAAGGGGGTTAGGAGGGAAATTGCTGCTTAGTCAGTCCCTATCTGCGTTTGCCCACCCCAACGTGAGCTCTGCGAAACTAGGGGGATTTCTTTAAATATTCTAAGCCCTTACCACCAGGCTACCCTAGGAGTTTGGTGATTACTTTACAATCCACATATACTCAGAATCTAGATAGGGTTGAAATATCTTTCTAGGATGTCTCAAGAAGAATRGTTTCGTTACCTTCAATTTTTTTCCTGCAGTTAGTCCACTTCTTCCCAACTGTTGCAGTCTGATGTTTGCTAGAAAATATAACTTTGAAAAGTTAATCTGTTGKGATTTGCTTGTTCTTGCCTCATGTTGTTGATCRTAGCTGTATGAGTTCCTGCGCATGTTTTTCCTTTACACTTTTTTTATTTTTTTGAGTAGTACACTTTTCTTTGAGTACTGATAATGCTGCATCAGTTTCAATCTCATCAAATAGGTAATGAGGATGCTTCAACCATGCTGAACAAAATCCATCAAAAGCAAAATTGTGTTTGCTGATTTCTGAATTGAAGAGATACACAAAAAGCCTGTGGAACCACTTTTTAGCCCAAGGGAAAGCAACAAGCATGAGGTTTTGACATGATTGTTCAGGTTAGAAAACTTGTTTCTGAATTGAGACATGTTAATTATTGTATACCTTGTCTTCTTTATAATTTAGTACTGATTTTTGGTTGGCTGGACAGTTTTTGCTTGGTTTGAATTTTAAGCTGAGACACAAAAACAGGATAGCCTATTTGAAACGATCAAAGAATTATCCTTGCTTCTTTGCTCACTAAGATGATTCTTACATGAAAAAGGCATATCATAATTGAAACCCCTTTTGTTTATACTTTTTTGGGCCAGTCAAATTATGGATGCTACACAGAAAAGGTGATGGTCACTCACTTTGAATTCAAAATCCACTACTTGAACAGCCTCTTTCTTTCTTTTCTTCTCTTTTTTTTTAGATATTGTTTATTCAAATAACATTTTTAAAAATCAGGTACCTTTTTGTTTTTCTATGATATTTCAAAGAGTGTGGTACATTTT